GAAAGACATCTGCAAGAGTTTATTGAAAATGTTCAGACAAGTGACTATGATCAGGAAAGCGTACAAGAAACCTTGGACATTTGCGCGGAGTACATAAATCAATTGGAGATAAACTTTTTGCAACCCTCTCCAGACGGACAACACAGTAAGTCAAATGAAAAATATATTTATTTTGTAGTAAAAGTAAATAAAATGTAAGCTTTTGTTTCAACACACAATTCCGTTTAAATAGATCACATTCCACTTGATTTCATTTTGAGTAATCTGCCGGAATTGCACACGTTACGTTTAACATATTGTACCAAGTCTTTGGGTATGAATTTCTACTTGGGCTGTAATACCTTGTCGAAGCGTGATGTGCTCCATTTGGCCAGAGGACTGAGCAGAAGTCATGAGCTTCTACATTTCTGGTAATTATTATTAAACAGTCATTACATTTCAGCTTAAATATAATTTTGTTACGTGCAGCTTACACAGCACCAAATTGAGTCCTTATCAGTTACACCCGATTGCACGCAATTTGGACAGAGGCTGCCACAACTTAACATCGCTCGCTTTGGTGCATTGTTCCTTTGGCAACGAAGGCATACGCAAATTCCTACAGGCTTGTAATAAGGAATCCTTTAGTACGTTAAAAATTTTGGACTTAACAAATAATAAAATAAGTGAGTTTATTAATTACATATGAAAAATTATATGATTCAAAATGCATATTGTCAATAAGCAAGATAGTGTTTATTTTTGTGCTGAATTGTTATTATATATATTTTTATTTTATTTTATTTTAATTTATTTTATTTTATTTTATTTTATTTTATTTTATTTTATTTAAATGAATATTTTATTCTATTTTATTTTATTTAAATGAATATTTATTTTATATCTATTTTATTTTATATTGTTTTATTTTATTAAATTATAATTTATTTTTATTATTTTATAGTTTTATTTTATTTTATATTTTTGTATATTTTTTTTTACTCTTATTAAAAACTTGTAATATAAATAGTGAAAATTGAAATCCATTGAGGCGCGTTTTAGTACAAAGTACTGAGCTAACCACGGCCAATAGTCCTTTTATTTCGTCGCATTTCTGTATTATATTTAACTGACTTAAACTGTTAAATACAAAAGCGGTCTTATGGTTATATCTTGGTGGTTTGTACTTCCGATATTCTTATACGATGCCAACGACCTAAAAATCATATTTTTGATCAGGGTACAAACTATCAATCTAAATCACGAATCTATTTGTGTCTCGGTTTATTTGGCTCATTCATATTGAATAAATGGATCTTGGTTGTATGTGAAAATTATTCGCAAATCAATTGCCTCATACCTCTTATTTCAACTGAACGAACCAAACTGATTTTTCAAATATTTTAAAAGACAATCAATTAAATTATAAAACGTCATAAATGTGGATAATTATGGTCTATATTTTCAATCAAAGCCTTCATACAAGCTGATGCTTCAGGTACAGCATAAGTATTACAAAACTATACATAAATATAACTATAAGAAATAAACATGAGTAGTTAACACTGCAGATGTCAGCATATACCTATTCAACATAAACTAAAGTACCAATAAACTGAACATTTAAAAAAACTACGTATAGCCATGCCAACCACAATAAATGTCACTGCCATAATACAAAAAGCTACGTAATAAGGGGGTATTCACGATCTTGCGTAACGAACTCGGTAACTAGGTAATACAGTAGAAATGAGTAGGGATGACAAAATATATTTTGTTGGTATTGTGTTGGTAGTTCACAATGTTATTATGTTAGTCGAATAAAGATCTCATAACTCGAGATCGTGAATAGCTCTACTAATTTGTACTCTTAAGAACAATGAAAGTAAACTCACTTAAAAGCATAGTTCAGTGTGATTATTATTGTGTTGATAGCTTAGGCCTTACCAATTTTTTTTACTTAAATCGAAACACTTGTATGAATGCATGTACTCTAGATACCTTGTTAAGAATTTATTTATTTATTATTATTTTCAATGTTCATTTGAGATTTTATTACAAAATCTTAAAAAAGTAACAATCAATAATAATTTTAAATACAATCTATATCTCTTTTCATAGCTGCTGAGGGTGCTTTATTGCTCAGTCGTTCTTTACGTAATCTGAAACTGGAAAAATTCATTTTACGTTTCAATCCCATACAAAGCGATGGTGCCGCTATCATTTTCTCTCTACTAAATTATTTACCCATTAAATATTTGGACATTAGTTGCTGTTGCATATGCGTGGGAATAACAAAATTATTTATGCAATTAATTGTAGAGAACAAGATCTTACGATATTTAGACGTCTCTAATAATGAATTGAATGAGGTAATTATTATTGCTTAAGTCAAGCAATTAATAAATACATTAACCAATATTTTTAGGAATTCGGTGTTCAACTTTATAAAATTATTGGTTTTAACAAAACATTGCAGATGTTGGATGTGAGAAACACAGGACTTTCTTTCACTTTGCGTAATAAACTAAGAGATATTTTAAAACAAAACTTTCCGAAAAAAAGTTTTAAATTAACTTATTAAAATGTTATCAAATAAATTTAATGACATAAAATTTGAAGAAATAATACCATATAGAAATATAAAACAAATATGTACATAAAATAAATAAATAAAAAAATTTGAAAAAAATCTGTTTCCGCCCGGGATCGAACCGGGGGCCTTCCGCGTGTTAGGCGGATGTGATAACCACTACACCACGGAAACAGTTGCTTGGATTGTGCCAATATTTCTTTTAGAGTTACAACAAACAAATGATATCAGATTAAAAAAAATACATTTATTAATGCATAATATATAATTTAATGTATATATACATATATATTTATAGCAAAATATAATAAATATGTATAATTCGCTCCTCCGGGCTTTGCCGTAAACGCATGTTATACAGACTGTCACATCAGTATTGCCAATTTTGTATTTTTATAGTGTTTTAATTCTTTTTGGTTAAAAGGAAATTTAGATATGCTCACTTTCAATTACCCACCAAAAACGACCAAATTGTTTTTTCTCTCATTGTCAAATTTAAAATTTGTATTAAAAATAAGAACAATTGTACTCGTGCCGTGCCCGAGACACAAATAATAATTCAGTCAAAGCGTTGAGAGGGGTTATGAAGAATCCTCGCACTTAATAAAGAATTAAAGTGCACAAGTGCACTGACTCAACTAGCCTCAACATAATAATATAATATGTAGCAATATATAAAAAACATATTATTTACAATCTTAAGTGGCCACCACAAACGTGAGTCGTCATGGCAATATCGAGTAGCCTCCGCCAGCCAGCCCAATCAGTGGTTTGCTGTCGTCAGTTGATAGTACCGAGCACCTCCAAATCGTTGGTCACTTCCACCGAAGATACGAACATTTTCTACTGTTTTTTCCACCTGCGGGTACCAAATCAAATATCTTTCTAGCTGGAGCACTTTCTTTCATTCGTACGACATGACTAAGCCAGCGAAGTCGCTGAATTTTTATGCGCTTAACTATGTCAATGTACGATATAGCGCATACGCCTTATCGTTCCATCTAATTCGATTCTTGTTGTCAACGAGTAAAGAACAACATCTTTACTCAAATGCACTGTTGGTAATTGTCCAAACTTCTACACCATATAGCAGGACAGATATGATAAGAGAGTTGTAGAGCCTGATTTTTGTACGTTGAGAGAGCGATTTATTTGTACATAATAAATATACACTATAGAGCAATAAAAAAAAATACATAATATATAGCAAAACATAAAAAATATATAATATAAGCCAATATATAAAAAATATATAATATACTAGCTGACCCGGCGAACGTTGTTTCCCCTTGCAGTTAATTTTCCTGGCTCAGCTGAGTTAAAATATTTGTTGTCATTCAACTTAACCTTTAGCATTTTAATGCGAAAATTATTTTGAATTGTAGTTTAGCAGTCTGTTTGAAACGGTATTGAACAACTGGACCAACTGGTTGTGATTTTTTAAAAACGGTTCTAAAATACCCAGAATTTCTTGCTCCTCCATCTGCTCGATATGGTTGTACTGGCAACGCGCGTTTATTTGCTGCTTCTCATCACTCATTAAGTAGATTTGCAGAAATTTGGGATCATTCTTGGGCATCGTCATTAAAGAACCAATTTGGTGATACATTTGGCCCTGAATCTTAAGAGTTGATTGAAAATAGCGACCAATCTCATTCTGAACGATTTTTGTTGTTCCAAATGATGTCATTAGAAAGCACGAATTGAATTTGCGAATTTTACGAAAAAACAATTTAGATTGAGATGTGGCTTTAGCCAATAGTGCTTTCAATGGTTCTGGCGGCAAATTCAATGGTGGCAATAAACTTTTCCAGATGCGCAGCAGAAACCGGCCGATTCACCTTTGTATTTGAGTGCATGACAGTGTTGGCACTGTTTGTTCATAGCACCGATTACAATTCGTGAATGTGACGAATAGTCGATATCCGACTCATATTCATATTGTTTTTTTTTTGTACGTTATTTATATCTTTATATATATAATTCTACTTTTTTGTGTGTGCTCAAGTGAATTCAAGGATGGTTTAGATTCACAATTTGGTCCACTGGATAACGTTTTTTTAATTATTATACAGTTTTTTGTTATCCATATACATTTATATTAGACCTTTAAAAGTTATTCATGTTTACTTTGATTTGTTTAAAAAGTTTAAACTCTAAAATGAATCGTTCAGCTATTCTGTTGTATTTTTGAATTCGCTGGAATACCAGGAATACCAACACATAACTTAAGATTAAAAATTGGCTCACCTATAATTATACTGCGGAATTTAAATGCACTTAAGCTATGCAACGGCAATTTTACGATTCATTTTAGACATTTTAAACTTTTGAAACAAATCAAAGTAAGCATGAAAAAATTTTATAGTTCTAATATAAATGTATATGGATACCAAAAAAAATGAAAAAATTAATTAAAAAGACATTATCCAGTGGGCCAAATTGTGAATCTAAACCTTCCTTGAATCCACTTGAACACACACAAAAAATTTCATCAAAACGGTTCAGCCGTTTAGGAGAAGTTCACTGTCATCACACGTACAGAAGAATTATATATATAAGATATAGCAGAATAATAATACATAAGATATAGAAATATAATAAAAAATAATATGTAGCACTAGGGTGGCTCACGTTATAAGGGGGAAAATTAAATATGAAGTTTTGAATGAGCGCACCCCCTAGGAATATGCCATTGACCAAAAAAATGATATTCCCAAAGTTTTGGAGCAATAGGATTAAAAATGAAGTTGCGCCACTCGAGCAAAGTTGGGTTTTCAGGACAAAAAACAGTAATTTTTCAATTCAAGGTCATTTTTTATCTTTGTTACTTGTTTCAACACTTATTAATATATACTCATTTGATAGATAATTAAAATATCTTTTTAATAAGATACTGATGAGCAAAATCGGTTAAAAACTATGCGCAAAACACAATAATTAGTTCAGCGACTGTGCTCTGTTTTCTGTTTCATACCTTTTAGATGGCATGCACAATGCAATCGCAAATGTTTACAAGAAACGGAAGAAACATAAATAAAAAATAAAAATAATACATTTCTACTTAATAATTTATATAGACATTTAAGTAGAATTGAAAATGTAATTAAAACAAGAATTTTTTCGTAAGCAAAGAGGCAATGGTCGTAGAGGGATGATGACTGAAGTTAATATCCTTTTAGCAAACGAAGCAAGAGCGGCTAAAAATTCCATTGATTTTAATTGGAATAAATTCGATAAAGAAATTTGTCTCAAAATGGAAGCTGAATCTTTAGTCACAGTTAAACAAAATTGGGATAACGCAGACAGAACGATTCAATTCATCACTCCTAGTTTAGTTTCCGCCCTTGACAAATTCAAGGTTTCGGATCGCTACGCTATGCATATTTTGTAGTTGTAGGTATGCCGCCCAGGTGCCATCTAAGATTCTCGATGGATGGCGAAAATCATGTACTTACTAAAAATATTTCTTTTTAGAGATCAATTTACATATAACTCGGATGCATATGTGTGAACATTTTAACCCACAATAGGTTAGGTTATGTTCGGAAGGCACGTGCTAACAGTTGTCAGCACTTCTACTCGGAGACATATATTGCCCATTGGGATGCCCTTAAAAAATTTTACCAGGAGATGCGAGTTGCTAACCTTTGTTATCCTTGTAAAACCATTTGGTTTTCCAGATGGAGTTGAGGAGATTCGATAAGTTTGCTTTCGTTATCTCTTCCAAGCCAGTAAAATAAGGATCCCCAAGACATTAAAGTAGGCTTGTTTGAAGTCCTGGACAGAGACACAGAAAGTGGTTGATAGATTTTACCTCCTTTTCATCTTGGCAACTCCTGTATAATCCACTTGTTGGAACTCGCCACCGTTGGAGCATAGGCGCAATGGCACAGTGCCCCTGCGCACGAACTGTAGGTTTGCTCAAACCTTGAAGGCTTTTCGTTTTATTTTTGTCCAACTTAGGCCATAAGATTCTAGCGACCTTACAGTCTTCGCGGTTAGTTTATAAATTGTTAGTCACCGTATTGATTCCCTCTATTATCCTAAACAGTTTACATATCGGTGTATGTATTGAGAGGTCGGCCTCTCTTGTATGCAATTCAGAACCTCTTCTGGCCATCTCATCTGCTAGGCCATCTCATCTGCTAGTTCATTCCCTTCAATATTGCTATGTCCAAGTATTCGAAATGTACTATGTCCAACAAAGAGAGACCTTATGATGTTGGATGCTCATCAGTGATGCGAGTATCTTGGAATTTAGATTCAATTGTTTTCAGTGCGGCCTATCTACAAAAATCGTGATATTCGAAGGACGAATTGTACTTTGTTGTTTAATGTTGACATTTTTTTCGATAGCATATATCTCGCCGTGAAAGACGCTGTAAATAGCAGGGATTCGGTAGCACTGTCTTATCTGCATATCTTTCGAGAAGATACCTGCTCCCGTACCGCGTTCCATCTTTGAGCCATCTGCGTAGATAGTAACTGTAGAGTTACCGGTCACAGATCCAAGCTTCCAGCTATCTATCTCTGGTTAGATAAAGAGTGGGAACCCACTAATGAAGTTATTTTCCTCAAAGAACCTTTTTTTGGCCTTTCTAATAGTTTTATCAGTTTCGATCCATCGCCATGGATGGAGACGCAAGATTATAGAGATGCACTTGAAAATTATAATTTTTTATAAATAATTAACTAAATGGTAGCATATACCTATTACGTAATTGTGCATGTCTTCTAAAAGGTATGAAATAGAAAACAGAGCACAGTCGCTGAACTAATTATTGTGTTTTGCGCATAGTTTTTAACCGATTTTGCTCATCAGTATCTTATTAAAAAGATATTTTAATTATCTATCAAATGAGTATATATTAATAAGTGTTGAAACAAGTAACAAAGATAAAAAATGACCTTGAATTGAAAAATTACTGTTTTTTGTCCTGAAAACCCAACTT